GTGTCCAGTCCCTCAGGCTCTCTATGTACCGCGCTGCCGACGCTTTTCTTTAGTTTGTAGTGAAAAGTATTAATTTAATCTATACGAATAAAATGTACAAAATCTAGATTAAGTGCGACGACCGTTTACGTAAATATATGATTTGTAAATACATTTGTTTTAATAACACGCCCCGCAAACCATTTAATATAAGCTTTTAGTATTTAAATTTTAGTATAATTTAGTCAGTGGTTGGATTCCCATCCTATTCTAGACAACTGGATACCATCAGTTTTAATTAATAATAATATTTAAAGAATGAATTTCAGGATAGCTTAGGTACTATTGTAAATAAATGCGTTCAACATGCTATAAGTTTTATTTAGTTCGCAGAAGTGACTGCAGAGTTCACAACATTACACAGGTTTACATTTCCAAATATTCAACAAGGACTAGGAATAAGTCAATAGTAAGTATAACTACTAACTAACAGTGGACAGGTCGCTTCCCAATCACAGCGCCGCTACTTGCCTGACACTGCGCGCCTCACATCGCCTCACATCACCTCATCGCACACGTCACTTGTGGACTATTTGGTACAATCAAATAAATATAAGAAAAACATGACTTTTAGAAAAATATCTTTGTCTAATTTTTATACTACATTGGTATACACTTTAATATATTATTTAGTATTTGACATTATCTTAGTAAAGGATAATGGTGATTATTAACTAATTAATATGTAGATAAAGAGAGAGAATAAAATAAAATTAAAGATTTTTTAAGAGTAAAGGCAAAACATATACCTTTGGCTTAGTTAAAGATGAAGTTTTACGATCATCCTCTGACGATATAATAAAAACCATCCTGTCAACAGCTGGTCCATTAGGAAGCGACGTCTATGAACAACAACGATATCTAAATCTACACTTAATATTACTTGATATGTATTCGTTCCACTATATTACTTTGATATGTTGTAGTTACACATTTACATATATAATAATAAATATATAAGTCACATTCATATGATATGTACGTGGTAGTCTCAGCGACTTCAACGGGCAGGTGACGTATCACAAACATTCGTAAATAATTTGCAAGGTAAATGTAGACTCTAACATATATATAATATAGTCGTCTATATACCTATACGTTAATAGCGATATAAATCTCTCATAAAAATAATTCAAAAGCTTGATTACATTCCAATAATGTTAATATAAAGAGATATAATGACAAACACTTTACAAATATCTTCAACGACAAAAGCGTACACACACAGGGTCGTGTTGGTCGAGGGGAGGGCGAACACTTACAAGTACATTGATAATATATTGAACACCGATACATTTTAACTACTTTAAAACAGGCAATGGACGCTATGAGTGATTCAATCTCATTTCAACGAACCTCTAAATGTTTTCATGATAACATTTTTTGCGACAGAAGTAGGCCGATATCATTTTTGCTTTCAGAATTATTCTATTTTCCCTAAGCTGAATGAAATCTGAGAAAAGTCTCGAGAACCTTTTGATTGTCACTGATAACGTCCCAATGCCAGACAAGACCGTCGACCGTCTCTAAACTAGTATGATGACAAGCGCAAATGTAACATCTTTAAACAACAACTTTAAAAAACAAAATGTTACTTAAATTCGTAATCGAAAGTGACCGCGCTAACTTCATCTACAAAGTAAAGTTGTGCAGAGCTGATGAGTAGCGGGTACAATACGAGTATCTCTACAATATATCAATATCAAAATAAACGGAGCTAAAACAATAAACTTTTCTAAATATGTCATATTCATCTAAATAATAACAGATGCTTTAGAAGCGTATGTATCTTTTATACGTATATTATAATGTAACAAGGAATGACTTTACTAGATTCTGACCGGCGGGTCTGGTGTCCATGACTGAAACAGTGCCTTCACTAACTGCCTACTGCGCAGCGCGGGGCTTTTCTGGCTGAAGCGGCTGACCGCGTGCCCATTACGCTTCCCTACGTTAATTGACTTAAATAAGGAATCCTCTTTAATATAAACAATATAATAAATAATTATATCTCATCTACCGATTTATTTATAAGTTCACATATTGATATGTATCAGTTTCATTATTTAATAGTTAATAATAACATTAAATCTTTTTTTTAACTACAAAATAAGTATCTCTTAAACACACAATAAATATAAGACATCCATTATTAATATATCTATTGCTTCCAACGTTTACTAACTACAGGTCGTAAGACGCATTTGATATGTTTTGAAACAACCATTTCAGTTTAGTTACTTTTGACTTTTAACTTTAACACACAACATATAGTGATTTGGAAGATACGAAAGAAACATTTGTAAGTTTGAGCAGACGACATTGACACCGAGGTTAGCAGGTAAGTACATCGAGATGCTAGGCTTCGCGTCCACAGAAAATATGATCGCGGGAAAAGTATACAGTTTGTTTGACCTACTGAGGTTCAAATAGACAAGGCGAAGAGCGTTGTCGCCATCTAGCCTACTTGACTTAATAGAGGGGATCGTCTCAGAAGGCCGTCTGCTTCCCGAAGGGCTGGACAGGCGGGGGGGCGCTGCTATTACCGAAGAGGGGGGTGGGTCCGTCGTTAGGGTCGTCGAGGTCGTCGTCGGGCTCGAGAGCAGGGTTGATACGACCGGCGCGCTCATCTGGTCCGACAAGCGTGGAGGCGGCGCCGTACAGCCGGCCCGGCACGCCGCCCAGCACCGACATCTGCTCGCCCGCCTCTGAAGGTTCGTCCACGCGCCGAATGTCCTCGGGGATGTTGACCACGCAGTTGAAGTAGTCGGACTCCGGGCTCAAGTAGCCGCCGTTGAACAGGAATCTAAACCAATCAATCACCAAATGGATCTTAAACAATTTGAAACTGTTTTTTTTTTCTTAAACTTACTAAACATTAGGTAATGTTCAGCCAGTTACATACTGCGTATTAGAAATACATATAATGAAAGGAAATTGAAAGTGAATCTTAACGTTATCTTATAAGCAATTAGCATTTTAATGTGCGCGTGTTGCCGAAACAAAGAAATAGCGTTAAAACTGTTTACATTGCGTAATATCAGATATTACACAATGAACAAAATTGTGTTATTCTCTTTTGATAATCTCAATTTAGCGTTAAAGTGACGATTTCCAGTGTGTGCAAAACGAAAAAAGACTACTAATAGGGTAAAAAAAATGTTAGACGGAAAACTTCGTATTCCATGACTTTTAGTCATTAACTTATTATCAAAACTCGAATTTAGAGTTGTATAGCAAGAAATTAAGCTTCACATTTATGACGGTATATGTGAAAAGCATTTGTAAACGCTAAAAAGAAATTGGAATCATCCGTGCCTCGTGAAAAATATGGCATTGGGAAAATATAAAGTGCGTCGCGTGATCGAATGTAGAATATTGGGGCAACATTGCCGTAAAGAGACACATAACAAAACAAGAAAAGGATCGCAGCAAAATCAAATACACACAAATCAATTAGTAAATAGTTAAATACGTAAAATACTCAAACTTAGAATATTTTTGAGTTTTTAAGATAACTACATGGATATTTATTTTCATATTTAATGATAACCTAATTGAGGTTTCTTTTATGTAAGCCTCAATGAAAGTTCGAAGTCGCGAAACGTACAAGAACAAACTAAATGACATTATGAAAGTAAGATAAAATTTAAAAGTATGACGATAGAGGAGAGAAGTAGGGAGAGGTCGCGCGACATCAGATCAATACAAGAAACAGGTCACACGGAGGTCGTCACTTTGTTACACATCAAGTAAATTTTTAGATATTTTTAACGTAATAGAAACATGAATTAATCTCTTTATTATTGTTTCAATTATTAATTTAAACAATAAATAGGTTATCAATCATTACACATTCTAATCCCCCGGCTTTATGGATTACTGGAATATCCCACTCACATGTCGGCCCACATGTTTTACAAATCTTGATTTTTACAGGCACATAGGTAATCTGTCGCCAATCATTAGTTTCTTTTCATTCATAAGTTTTTAAATAGCTCGTTTTTACGTCTATTAATATAAATTATTTTAACAAAAGAAAAACAACATAATCTAACCTTAGGCACAAAATTGGAGCGTTGAATTTACTTTTGCTACGCAAATGTTTGTTCGTTAATTTTCCATTCAAATCAATTTGACTCTTGACACTTTCAGAAAATTACATTACCATGTCAAAAAGAAATCCAGATTATTTTATTCATCATTCAAACATACATGTATACAAGCCCTGTTTTAATTAAATAGATGTTATCGTTACTCGTATCGTAAGGATAGTACAAAATAACTTACACGGAGAGCCAGGAGATGAAGGCGAGCGTGAAGAGCGACAACACCATGGCCATGGTTCGGAAGGGAAACAGTTGCACTTCGTTCTCGGCGTCCCAGCCAGGGTAGTGGATGAGGGCGGGCAGGCCCAGCAGCTTCTCGCCACCCGACAGCCGCACCAGCAGCGCCACTATGTACGCCGCCAGCGAGCCGTACGTGTTGCAGTGCCGCTTAAAGTGTACCACCATCAGCAGCTGCGGGAACAGGATCACGTACACCAGGTCCGAGCACATCGACCTGCGAACACACATTACCTTCCATAAACTTAATACATACAGCTTTGCTGAAATAGTTATATGATCTACAATATATTTGTGATTATTGCTTCTCCTCGCATGTAACCAATATAAAGAGATATATTCACATTTTGAAGCCTACAATGAACACTCCACTCCGAAATTAATTCCACAGACCGCAGGTATTTCATCAATGATTCTGCAATTAGATTTTGCGTATGACGCAGGTGAAATTCAAACATTCAGCCGATGGATTTCCAATTGAATCATGCGAACCACCTTCTTCACACCTCACACCAGCTCCGGACACCTCCCGCCCTTTAGACCAATACCGCCTTACCCCACATGTCACCTGTCCGGGTGCCGGGCGTGCGGCGTGCGGCGGCCGGCGCTGGTACATTTCATTCAATCCCTATTTGCCTACGGCTCGACTGTTCGATTAGTTCCTGTTGGTTTTCAATTCGCGATCCAATCACAAGTTTGCGAGGTTTCTGTTTACCATAGTAAACTCTTGTTCTATGTTTTTATTTGTTTAAAAACTTCTGTACACTATTTTACAATTTCTATACCACTTGAACGCAGAACTTTTTTCCTAGCTAAAAGTTTTGTTGAATTAATTGGCCGTACTCTCGTACTTTATACTATTTAAGCAAAGATACTCAAATAAAATAGTTTGCGTTGAATGTCTTTGATTAGTACCTGTTCTGCTCAAGTCTTCTAATGACATGAGCCATACATAATTACACCAGTTTGTCATCTAACTAGAACATGTAATTGGGTTTACATCGCTTAAAAAGTAAATCTAATGATAACAGAATTTAATTAAAAATCTCCCTCAATCTTTGTTAGGAGACGGAAATAAACAAAGTGCTTCTGCCGGCAACTTTTAATTAATAATTACGAACAAGTGGTGCTCGTTCAAACTGTAAAGTTCACTCCAATAAGTAGTATTGCTATATTTCTGATTACATTACACAGGAACAGACTAAAAAGAAAATGTATAATGTAAATAAAACTGCATACGTTAGTCTAGTAGTTAATTCACCACAATAAGACATAACCATAACAGCAAGCATAAAAACGGAACTACCACAAATGGGCAGCAAACTTATCCCCTGCACTCACCACAGGCCGTATATCGAAGGAATGGTGAGCGCCATTACTGTAGACAGCACTCCCACCACAAGGATGGAAACGCGCATCACCCAGATGATCTCCATCTCCGACGCGTTCTGCCTGAAGATCAGCTTGTACACGTTCCTGAGCACACAAACACATAGCCTTTGAGTAAAGGTATGAGACATAATTAAACACGTTTCAAAGTTTAAACACTTATTTATAATCCCACAAGTATTAGAAGTATTGCGTGTGTCTTAAAATGTTATGTTATTCATAAGTAGGTAGGGCTTAATGACTAGGTATTTAGGTCTTTTTAAGGTAAATGTTGAAGAACATCACTCATTTATTTTGTAAAACTTTCTAATACTCAAGTACAAAATCTGCTGTTCTTAGATTTGCGTGTAAGTATGTAGTGTTAAATCACCTGGCGAACATGGAGGAAGCGCTGAGCACGCTGGAGTCGGCGGAGGACATGACTGCGGCAGACACGGCGCCCAACCCGAAGAAGCTGACGAAGTCAGGCGTCAGGTGCTGAAGCACCAGCGGGAGGATCATCGACGTTTGGTCTGACGTCAGCTCACCCTCTGGCGTCAGTTCCCCGTGGAAGTTCGTCTCGTTCCACGCTGACACAAAACGATTAAATATTACATCAAAAACAATATTTAAGTAATGTTCTACGGATGATGAAACTTTAAAAAACAAACAATGATAAGTAAAGACTGTTGTTACCCGTGGCTTTTGCGATGGCGCCGATGAGCACGGGCGGAATGGCCATGAAGATGCAACCGATGGCCGCCACGTAGGACAGGATCTGAGCGCGCCCCGCCGTCTTGCTGCTCAGCACGCGTTGGAAGTACACCTGCACAGATAAACAATCAACATTTTTAACAACCTTCTCTATGAGATACTGGCTATCTATGGTTAGTAAAGAAGATATATCACCTGCCACGGTATCCCCCCAAAGATGAGAAGGAGTCCATAGTCGGCGTAGAACCAGTAATAGTTGGGATCAACGCTGCCTATCCAGTCGACCTCCATTGAGCTGAGCGGTTTAACGTGGTCGTTGGCCCACGCGAACGGGATGCACATCCAAAGCCCGATGAAGATGCAGAATAGCTGGATGACGTCAGTGTAGGCCACCGAGTACAGCCCGCCGAACAGCGTGTAGAAGACTGCCACACACGCGCTGAAGATCACCGACGTGCGGTGGTCCATGTCGATGATCACCGCCAAAGTCGCACCTAAGTGACGGAGATTGTGAGACAAACAGAGAACAGAGGAGAACAGAAAGGAATCTCTTACATTGTTATGAATACCACAACAATATGATGGATACACACCCCATTTAGAAAGTTTGTGGCATTTATCCCTTATAGGAAGTTGGGGGCACATTTCCCCTTCATTAAAGACACGTCAAAAGCACAAAGTTGTGTAACATGTTATTACTGGAGGAACCGCCGACGAGCGGAGTTGATTAAATCGATTACTCAGTTAAATTAAATTTCGACGTGACAACTTTAGGGTCTAACGCGATTTGTACAAGTTTGCTTTTGCTCTTCAACCCTGCGGTTTATTTAATTTATCATTCAATAGGTTTTAGTTAGAATTACGTCAGGAATGAAAAAAATATATGTCAACAAATAAACAACATACATTTGACCCGTCAATTCTAATTACGAAGTGGTAAAAAATATCCTAACGAAATATTAAGCACATTATTTTCGAAGTAATTTCGCATGTTAGAAAACATGAAGTGCCTCAGGAGCGCAATTTACCTGAATCATTATTTATAAAGGTGAGGCGCGACGTGGAGCGACCGCGACTGCGACCCGGGGGACGACCCCACGTCTCATAAGGATAGGGAGCGACCCTACTATATTTACGCAACAACTACTGTTATATTTTTTTATTATAAAGAAACAAAGCAAGCCATTATTGTATTATCTTAAGAGCGCACACATCTTTGACTAAACTATCGCACAACTGTTTAGACTCGTTTTGATTCCTATGAGTTTATATGAACATGCGCCCACTATTCGATTTTTAGTTGTGCAACTAAACAGTTGAATTGGCTGCGAAACAATCGACGACCGCACAACAATTGTGTGATAGTTTAGTTAAGAGTGTTCAACCGCTCTAAAAGAACATACATCTAAATAAATATTAACTGTAATAAATACTGGAAAGATTGTCATCATTAACTTATTGTTGCAGATTGCCTAAAAGTACAATGATATTATTTCTTCAAAAGAAATAATCGTAAATCGTATCGCGAACAAGGAAAAAATGTTTTTATTAATTCATCTGGGACTCATCCACTTCGCTGAAGTTATATTCAAGAAAAGTTTTACGAAACAATTCTATATATGTATATATAAGCTATGCTGTTATATTGTATATGTTCATTATAGATTTGCTGTTCAAGTTGTGCGAGTGTCTGGCTGGTCGCCAACACGTCGAGTGGATACGAACTTTTATATCTCACGGGGTTTTGTATAATTTTCTGTTCAAATAAGTGAATAGCGCCTTTTCCATATTTACTAAAGATCGTATTGTTCTTACTTAACAACTACAAGACCTTGTTTGATTGTAATAAGTAATTAGCTAACCGGACGTAAAGGAGAGTTTATAACGTAAGCAATAGAAGTCTTTCAAAGGTTAATAATATTTATAGTATAGAACGTTTTTATTTTTTTTTATAACATAAGATGGCAAACGAGCAAGCGGCCACCTGAATCCGCCAAAATGGCGAAGCGTCCGCTGCCCATAGACATCCGCAATTGCAGATGCGTCGCCTACCCTTATCCGACGGAGGAGGAGACGCACATAAAGAGGATATTTCCTCCTCCTATGCCTCTCCTCCATCGTCAAATCCACTTCCCCTTCCCATCCTCTCATAAGAAAAGGGTGGTAAAGAGAAAAGGGATTTAAATTAGGCCTCCGGCACCACACTCATTAGACGAAACACGGCATTGGTTCCATTTCACGCCTGTCTTCTGTGTAGTCGTGGTATTACACCGGGCGTGCCGGCCTATTCGTGCTAAGATGTTAAAGCGGGCACTACCACTGTAAACTGTGACTGTGGACGTATTTTAGTTTTCTTTTGAAAATCCACTATAAATAGATCCCTATTGTTGAATTACATTACTATGTGTAGGCGCGCTGTGAAACACGAACCGATCCTGAAACATTTGCATAATTAACGGCTCGTGTTCCAACTGACGACACCTACGCAAGTTACTGCTCACTATAATTTTTTTTATGTTGTAGTTTGGTACTAGTTACGCAATCATTGACAATAGATGGCGCTGACAATAAAATGTAAAAATATTTCATTCGTTCATTTATTTAAAACTTAAGCATATTTTTTTTAAAAAGTAGTAACATGTTTTTTATAAGAAGTTAAAATTATATTTGTTTCAGTTTGCAAAAATATTGTGGATGAATAGTTAATAACGCAACGGACACAATTGTATTTAAAAAAAAAAAACAAAGATTTAGGCGCGAATGAGCGTGCAAGATGTGAAGCTAGCAATGTAACAACGTTTTTATTATGTGTGTATTTATCAATAAATGAAGAAGATTTTATCGACGGTACTAGTTTACATTCATACAGGTACAATACGTACAATGTCCACCATTACTAAATAATTTATATTATTTAGAAGTAAATCTTATTATTAAGAAGTCCCATAACAAAACGAAAGATTACGAATGAAAACAACAAAGCAATGTTCTGAAAACCCTATATTAAATGATCGTCCTTATTTATAATGGATTTCCATGATGGATCCTCATTCATTTACTTCGAAATATCTTCAACAGTCCACCTTATCGGAGTTCTACTTACGCTGGTAAATAATGTATAATACAAACAATGGTCTTACCAAGCGCTGCCAGGATGCCAGCCGCCCAAAAGACCTCGCCGCAGAGCGCGGGCAGGAACAGCAGGCCCCCCATACGGCTACCGAACGAATCCTGCAGGGGGTCCAGCATCGTCACGTAGCCCTGCTTGCGCATCGGGTTCGCGAAGAAGATGCCCCCTGTCGACAACAGGACTAACTCACAAAGAGAAGACATGGTATGTTCTTATAGCTACTGATGTGTATATCCGTTCTATTCAATACATTTGCGGGTGATGAAACATTATTCTTATTTAAAAACTACTATGATGGCAATTTACTTTATTTCAATACAAAAAATAGCCATAATTATAAAAGTATTGTATAGTAGAGGACCGAAAGTGGCGGCTTTGTTTCCGGAAATAGAAAAGCACCGCGCCGACAGTATTGATTCAGCGGTTATACGAATACGTGCGACTCTATTGTATTTTTAACTGTGAATATTCAACATGGCCTGTTTTTAAAGCACACGTAAAAATGATCTAAAAAGTATTGCTATTTTAAGCCCTAGTATAAAATGAATTGTTCGCAAGCATAATTTAAAGGCAAAAATCCTTTTGTCCATTCCCGAGTTTTAATGTTTGGCTTCTGTTGGCAAAAGACTCACCGAAGACGAGAGAGAGCGCATATCCGAAGGGCGCCTGGCACCACACCAGCCCCGACGTGTAGATAGCCTCCGCCGTGCCGTTGATGTACCCGCCGCCCACCCACGTCGCTGCATCGACCACACACAACATTACATCTCTTACCTTTATACGACTCTTACTCAGTTCCACCAAGTCGTAAGATTTTAGGTGTATGTCGATGTAGTGATAAACTTTTGCAAAGGTCAGCCCACAACTAGATTTATTAAATGAACCTACGTAATCATAAACATCCTAAAGTTTTATCTTTTACCCTCTGAACCTTAATATTTGTAACAAAAAGCGCAACGTAGGTCAAAGAAGGGAGGTACTTTTGTTATCGATCTCGATTATTTGAAAAAGTCAATTTTGGAACACAGAAAGGTAAGATTTACTTTGCACCTGCCGATGTTCGCGCGCATGTCTAGAGAGGTCTTAAAATAAACTTGAATATTTGATTTAGGAGAGCAACCCGCTCTAGCAATCGATAGCCGTAACTGTACTCAATGTAAATTATTCACGACTTACAACCCTTTTGTAAGCTGATCAGTATAAATACAAACCAAGGATCTACTACATTTAGCAAAAAAACTAAAATCTCAATGTTTCAAACGCTCCAGGTTTAGTAGTCGACTAAAATATGTACTACATGTGTTTGCAATCTGATTTGATTCAGAGAGTCAGGTAGACTGACCTGTCATGGTGAATATACCCACGAAGAGGCCGATGGACCTGCCGGCCAGCATCACCTCCTCTTCAGAGTCATTGCCGGGTGGCTTCTTGCGTCCTGCCCAGATGCCCACCGCCAAGATCAGCACGTAGAACAGGATGATGGAGATCACGCCCGCTATGTTGATCATTTTGATTGCTTCGTGTGTGCCCTGCCCTATCACACAAACATATGCTGGTAAATTTAGTTTTGAGGAACCGTGTGTCGACAGCTTTCATTAATATACCAATGACAAAAGATCCTACATAGTATCTTTCTCATAAGAGAGTAGTAAGAGAGTATGTAAATACTACTGTCCGTACCCCTGGTAAATGTACACAGAAATCATAATTATTCCAGAAAATTGAGAACCTTTTGAACGAAAAACCGTTCCCCAAAATGTTCTACAGCATTCTCATCTACATCAATAAAAAATCGTGCAACTGACCTTGTGGTAAAAGTTCCTCTGGTCCGCAGGATGCTTGAACCGCGAGCTTAGCACCTCACAGTACGGTACACTTCAGATTAACGCGCCTCAAAACACTCTCATTCAAATCCTACGAGCACTGGTCACACGCACTCTACGCGCTCGAGGGGAACGGGCGAGCGGCGCTAGGCGCGCAACTGTCGCCCCATCGGAGTGACGTCTTCTGTGAAGGGCTGTTCCTGGTCCTGAAGCTTAGCCCGCACATGAGGTGCCAGCCACCTGCGTCCCGAACCGCGTTACATAAGTCACGGAGGCACGTGCGCCCGACTGACAGCGGCCGGGCCTGGCTGCGCCGCCGCCCGATCGATCCTTTGACGTCATTGGCCGCCGCACGCCCGCCTTGCGCATGCCTCGCGCCTCCCACTCCACCCGCGTCCCACACCTGCGGCTGCAAATGTTGTGCTACCTATACATTGCTCTTTCATAGATCCTGCTAAAGCTCTCCAGCTCTAAAGAAAGAGTTGCAAATGATTTGGCAAGCGATGGTAACATATTCTAAAAACGTTAACGTAGACCTCCTGAGTGCATGGTACGGTCTCGTTTTCCCATTGACAAATTGATTCAACACGAAGAAGCGAAATAGCCTTGGATTCACCATCGTGTACTCCTATACCTGAACTTACTCCTATACCTACAACGTAAAAATGTCTTGGATTGTATTGATATACTTTCATACGATTATCCAAAGATCATTTTACTTATAATTTAGATCAAAATATCCTCATGTCCCGTAGGTACTCATCTAGCCCCAGACTCCCGTAACCCTGGGATATTTAGGAACCGATTTGAAGGATTACTTTAAAGTTGCCTGTAACACTGGGTATCTCCTAATTAATCTACACTTTCGAAATCCAAACTTGACAAGTTTCAACAGCCATCTTGATTTAACTGTCAACTTCATGACGGTTTAAATAAAAGCATCAGCTCTTTTGAGCGTTGGCATTTTATTATATTAGAACATTTTTTATCAAAATTTTATGCGAAAAGTAGAAATTGCTCATCTATTTTTATAATGATTTAAAATCTTGAAAATTTCAGCAGCGAGGAAAACAGAAAAAAAATCAAAATGCATGATAAGGTTTGCTCGATTATCTTTAGTACAAATTACATTTGTTTAATTAGCATTTGATACCAATTTCCTTTCTTCGGCATCTTAACATCAAGAGTCAGGAGAGAAAGAAATCGTGAAATGACAATTTAAAATATAAGCAATATTAACGTAAGTTCTGAGCATTGCTTGTTGTCATTATTGTGCGGTGGCGGCAGATCTTGCGGCTAGCGGACGTGTGGAAGACATGCAACAAGATCCGTGCAGCCAGCTTCCGCGTCGGCCTCAACCTGTGGGACTGGTACCGCCCCCTCGACCCCGATGGCAACTGTCTACTCTCCGGTACTCTGCATTGCTCACTTTAGTACCAAAAATGTTTTAGAGACCCCATGTGCCTTATGTTCCGAACTTATACACCAGAGTCGCGTGCGCTAAGAGGCAACCACTTGAGGTGGAAGCAACAGTTTAAATAGAAACTTTAATCCTCCTCCTTCGTAGTGTTCTCACTATTATTCTTATCTATGTAATGTCTGGCAGAGTCAAAGTTTGTGTCGATCTTGGCGGGCCCGCTGCGTCCGGTGGTTGGCCTGTCGGACGCGGAGATCTCGCAGCTGGCGGACTACTTCCGCGCGCAGGATGGCCGCGTTCACTACCACCAGCTCTGCCAGATCATACATGGCGAGGGTGAGCCTTCTTGCCAATTGACAACACAATGACTTCATAACTAATCATAACTATAGAACTGTCTTCTTTATTTTTGAAAATATTTCCTACTGCGTTTCAATATTGTAAGTAAATAAACACGTTATGCAAATTATGTTTTTCTTATACGAGCCAAACACTTTTTAAACTTTATATGTTGTTGTGGGCAGATGCGAGCGACCGCAGCCGCACATCTGCGGACTGCATCCTGGAGGCGTGCCCGCCGCCGCCGGAGCCGCGCTGCCACACGCTGGACAAGTGGCAGACACGTCGCTTGTGCTGCTTGCTGGCCACCATCGCCGCACGCGACCTCCCGCTCAGGCCATACTTCCAGGATTATGAACTCGTCAGTAGCTCGTGTCACTTGTAATCTAAACAATTTGCTACCTCTAAACAATGCTAACCCATCATACAAACTGTCACCAGGTAGCCAAAAACGATGGCCGCATTACGTTCGCTCATTTCGCTAGGATTCTGCACTTCGTGGGCGTGATCCTCTCCCCCGAGGACTTTAACTTAATCGTGCGCCGGTTTATTAAAGACTCCTACACCATCGACTATGTTGAGTTTCTTAAAGCGGTGGAGGCAGTCAAAAAGGAAGGAATACAAGGACTCGGACCGGTGAGTTGTTATATTTTTAAATTACGAGGCTATGACACACACACATTGAACCACGAATAAAAACATAATTTAATGACTTGAATTCGATTTGAGTGAATCAATTAGACTTTTGCATCGTTGCAGGCGTACCAGCACCCGGGCGCGGTGCTGGACACGACGCTGCCGAAGCTGTCGCGGCCGGAGGTGGCGGCAGGGCGGTCGGGCGCGCTGCTGGGCACGGAGGTGTTCCACCCCGCGCTGCAGCCGCCGCGGCCGCCGCGCGCGCTCCTCGACATCATGCTCCGGGTGCAGGAGTTCGTGCTGCAGCGCCGGATCAGGGTTTCAGAATATTTTAGGGTTAATATTTTCTTAGGAATATTTATTTGCTGTCTTATTAATGTAAAGTTAAATATTAGATTTCTTAAAAAGCTTCTTCATTCGTTGGTATTGTTTGTTGGCAGGACTTTGACACGCTGAACTGTGGCCGCATAATGCCGCAGCAGTTCCGGCGCGCGATGGACGCCATGGGCCTCGGCAGCGTGATA